TCTTGAAGTGCGGCGCCCAGAATTGCATGCAGTACTCCAACTGCGGTCTGACCAGCACCCGATAGAGGGGAAGTATCACCTCTTTGGATCTATTCGTCATGCATCTGCTGATGCACGATAAAGTGCCATTGGCTTTTCTGATGGCTTTGTCACACTGCCGACTCATGTTCATCTTGGAGTCCACTAGGACTCCAAGATCCCTTTCCACTTCCGTGCCACCCAGCAGGTCATTTCCTAGGCTGTAGGTGTGCTGGACATTTTTCCTCCCTAGGTGCAGCACTTTGCATTTCTCCTTGTTGAATTGCATTCTGTTGTTTTCTGCCCACTTGTCCAACCTGTCCAGGTCTGCTTGCAGCTGTTCCCTGCCTTCCGGCGTGTCCACTTCTCCCCATAGCTTTGTGTCATCTGCAAACTTGGACAAAGTACATTTCACTCCCTCGTCCAAGTCGCTGATGAAGACATTAAAGAGTATCGGTCCCAGGACCGAGCCCTGCGGGACCGCACTGCCCACACCCTTCCAGGTCGAAACCGACCCATCCACCACGACTCTCTGGGTGCGACCCTCTAGCCAATTTGCCACCCACCGGACTGTGTAGTCATCCAAATCACAGCCTTTAACTTGTTCACCAGTTCTATCAGTAGAGCTACTCTAAGGAATTCAAACTCAAGTAAGTGCAAGCTGTAATATGACTCATTTTAACTGTTAAATTAAAAAAAAAAATCCTTTAGTGTAAAGCACAATTTGTTTTGTCAAATATCCTATGTGTTGTAGATGCAGAAATATTACCTAAAGCCATTAAACTGATGTGAATCTTCAGTTACTTACCACAATCCATTCTGAAGATGCTAGAGGCACCTCCTTATATCGCAGTTCATATTGCATAGAAGTTTTTGGTGGGTCCCACTTAATTACAAATTTGTTTGATACTTGGTGAGCATTTATGTTGGAGGGTGAACCACATTTCACTGAAATGAAAAGTTGGAAGGAATCAACACAAATACAAGCAGGAAAGCTATGATTTATTTTCAGTTATAAGCCAAAGCGAAGAATGCTTAAGACATCTAGCTTAGAATACTGAACAATGGAGTATCTTAAAAGTGATAGAGAGGTCTAGTAAAACTTTGTTGCATGAGACAAAGTGGTCCCATTCAACCATTATCGAGCATGAAGAGGGTGGTCTTACTGATTTCAGAGAGAGAATTTGTGGAGTATGTTACTGTTCAGTGGGTGGATCTACATGTGTGCTTTATTGTGGAGTTGCCTAATTAGCTCCATGGTAAAGTGTCACAGTCTACATGTGCGGTGCTATTAGGCTGAAGTAAACTAATTAACTCCACCACAGAATAGTACTGCCTGACACAAGCACTATTCTACAGCAGAGTTATTTACTTTGTTGCAATTTGTGCCCTAGCTAGCCCCTGTGCAGCTTGTTGAATTGAAGTGGAACAGTTCTGGGCTGGCAGGTTCACCCCGGGGTCCCCTGCCAGCACAGCACTACCCCGCTAAATGTGCTGTGATCCTGAGTGCACATGTAAACACTGCACTTGGGAGCAATAAACTCCAATGTGAACTGCGCCAGAGTTTATTCAGCCACTCTAATCATGTAATGCACCCAGTGAGTATCACTAGCAGAGTCAGAATGTCAAATAGACATGTAACTCTGTGTGTGTGTGTGTGTGTGTGTGTGTGTTTAACAGCTATCCCAAATTAGGTGCTTCTAAATTCTACTGTTATTTTAGCTTGATCATTACAAATGCAATTGTTTACTTATTCTGAAGGACTCACTGGAGGTAACAGTAGCAGCTAAGAGTGATTTTAATAGTGTTGTGCAATACTGAGGAGGGTTTCCAGAGATAATCTTTAAGCGCTTCCCAGAATTTGACTTCATGTCAGTACTTGTATGCAATGGTGGTCTTACCCATAAGATAAGTAAGTTCTCACCTGCATTAGATAGTACAGGATTTGCCATGTCTTCCTTCCTCTCCCCGCCCCCTTTTAATTATAAAACATTGTGTATCAGAATATGTAGGTAGTCCATAAAACAGACTGAAGACTGAAAAAGGTTCCCAAAAAAGCAGAGGTTCAATTTATGGAATTACTTAAATGCATTTGGGTTGGTCTAATAAAAGATATCAGATTCACCCAAGGAAACTTGTCGACCATTGAGCTAACTTTTTATTTAGAAAACCAATAAAAAAGTTCAGAAATCTAGAAAACATAATGCAGGAAGGTTGTCAAATATAGTAAGCATATATTGCTCTACATTTTTGGTAAATGCCTGATTAAAAAAAATCTTAATTATAAAAGTCATTGTGAATTTTACCACTGACATCAGTAGGACCAAAATTTTGCCAAATACATCTAAATTATAGCCTACTTTTTTGATTTGGTGATTAAAAACTAGTGAATATTGAGAATTCTACAATTATCAAATAAAGTTCCAATAAAATTGAACCCCATCTTTTGCTAAGTTGCCTTGCATCATAAGTTCTAAAGTGATATAAATGATACTAGAGGCACTGTACCTGCTTTGCTTGGTATAAAGGAGATATTCTTTGTTTTCACACAGCTCTCAGCGGAGTAAATCACAGATACCCAGATAGTCACAGGGCGATTCATGTATAGGCGACTTCGTTCCACTTTGATGGAAGATGATGAGATATTTCTTTCCAGACATTTCTTGATTTTGTCCCTTTCAACAAAGAGATTTGAGGTGGGAACAAAATGAATCAAAACTGTTGGATTACAACTTGTTTTGCTTACAGCAGAGGTTCCCAAACTGTGGTATGCATACCCCTGGACGCCAGTATCTCCTGGAGGTGGGGGATGCAGGTGAAATTGTGTAATGGCAGATTTAATTTTTGTTATAATAATAATAATTGGCAGTTAATGGGTTAAAATGTAAAACATATATGGGTAGGGTTATGCAGGTTGCTGGTAAATCTGGAGGGGGTTATGTAATAAGAAAACATTTGGGAACCTCTGCATTACTGCAACACCATGATAGATGGTGAATTTCTTGATATATGCACATATAGAAATGTTAGGAGGTAAATTCCAAAGCACAATCCAAGATTTTTGAACCAGACCTGTGAGTGTAATACTGAGATCCAAGTCATTCTAGCTAAGTCTGAATTTAAGTAATTTTACATTTCTATAAGCACTTATATGGCCTCTATCACCATAGTAACTGAATGTTTTACAATGTTTAATGTATTAATCTAGTGGTGTCAAAGATATGGCCTGTAGGCTAGATGCCCTGTCACCCACCCCTGGTGCTGCCCCTGCATCTGAGTTGATAGACATGCCACCAGACCAGACTTGCACACAGGGCCTAGGAGGCATGCCACATATGGCATCCATTCTGACTGGTCTGGGAGCCACACTACATGTGATGACCATCTTGGCTGGTCCGGAATTGCGCCACATGTGAAGCCCACTTTGTGACCTGTGCCATGCACAGCGCCTGCTCCAGCTAGTCTGGAACCCAAGCTGCATACAGGCCCTGAGCCCCATTTGCAGGGTGGGCTGTGTGTGGTATGTGTCTTGGATGGGATAGGGTGGGTGCTGTGTGTGATGTGGATTCTGGAGTGGGCACTAGTTCTGGCTTGGAGGGGGTGGGGGGGCGGTCAATGGGCCCAATCCACCCTGTGGACTGGCTTTGCACCCGCAGTGCCAGATGAGTTTGCCACCCTTGTATTAATCCCTCTGGAAAGCAGGGAAGCACTGTTCTTTCCCCATTTTTATAGATGTGGAACTTGGGCACAAAAGGATAAGATGACTTTCCCAGGGTCATACAAGAAATATGTGGCAGAGAAGGGAACTGAACTTAAATCTCTCAGATTCTAGATAGTGTACTAACCCTTAGAAGATCTATCGTTTAATATGTAACTTCTGAATAGCAGTAATACAGATGCAACCAAAGACAGCCTTTTATTTAGGATGTCCACATTGTTTACAGTGGTCTCAGTCACAAGTTCAACTCCATCTTCACATATATATTCATCACCTATGGTTTGTCCTACAGCCATGTGAGGTACAGAATGACTGCATCAGTGTTCTGTAAGAACTGTAACCCATTTACACAACAAGCATGCAAAATATAGAGCACTCCTGCAATGTTTGGTGTTCTTAACTCCTGTTGGCCTCAACTGTAAGCTCTCTTATATAAAAAATGTTTGTAGACTCTGGCTTCAGTGCATTTCAGGAGGAGGAATAAAAAGGTAACCTGTGCCACTCTGATCCTTGGGCAGCTCAGTGACATGAATTAGAACAGCGTCAAAACCATCTGCGAACCATATTAACTGTCAGTAACCCCAGGGACCACCCAGGCACCTAGAGATTGCCTTGGCCAAGCACCCTTTGTCACAGATGTGACCCCACTATGGCAGTCTGTGAGAAAAGCCAGTATAGGGGTCATTATGAGTTCTGTCTACTTCTACAAGTTTGCCTTAACAGACAGAATCCTTCAGTAGCTGGACTATCCAGAGTACAGTTCAGCATTTTGGTCCAAGTCTGGCATTCACAGGAAAGAACAAAGTTCTATGTAAGTATGCATTAGTATCTTTTTTCTCTAGAAAAAATAAATAAGATATTAGGGTAGAGTATTAGTTCAGGAAGTGGCATGTGATATACAGGTAGGGTACTATGTGTGCATATAACATGAAGGCAGATCTGGTCTTAGGGGTAGGCAAATTGGGCAACTGCCCAGGGTGCTGTGGTCAGGAGGGCACCACACGCATGCACACACAGCAGCACTCTACTCCCACCCAGTGTCCAGCTGATCCCCACACTCCTGCCTCCAGATGCTGGGCAGTGCAGGTGGCTGTGGGAGCATATTCCCTGCCACCCATAATAGGGCCTGGGAGATGCCCATAGTGCTGGGGACTGAACAGATGGGGCCACCTGCCAAGGCAGTCACACTCCCCACTGTCCCTCCCCTTTCCCACCCTGCCTGACTATGCAGCTGCACTGGTGGTGTTGTGATCACTCCCAGCCTCAGTGGCAGCTCCATGTGGGCACTCAGGCAGCAGTGGGCCAGGCTGACAGCTGCTGGGTGGCTGCAGTATGGCAGCCAAGGATGGGGACAAGCTGAGGCCAGGGCCACCTGCTGGGGCAGCTATACTCCACTGCAGCAGCACCACTGACTTGGGATTACCGAGGAATGCAGATAAGTATTGCAAATATCAATTCCCTCAAGGGAAACTGAATTAGGTTTTTGAAACATAACAGAGGCTAATCAGGTACAAAATAACTCTTTTACAAAAGTCAAACATGCAAACAACTTCTCACCCTATGTATCAGTATCCTGACTAAGCCCCACAGCCCTGGCCGAGCACAGGAGCTACTGGTCTATGACAAAGGGGGCAACCCCCCTTGATTGTCTAGTAACCCTTCATTTGAACTGATATTTGAGTCAAGCTGTGTGATGTGAAACAGTTAACACGGTTTAGAAAATAGTGAGCATGTCTACAAGTGACCTTAATGATCCTTTAAAGCAGTTTAATGGAACTGCCTCAACTTATATTAGATAAAATGCTGGATAACAGTGGAAAGGTTTTTCATCCACCCTCTGCTGCACATTTAGGATAGCCTTTGTAGACCTAGAATGTGCCAACTCAACATTCTTCTTAAAAATTGAATTTATTTTTTTAATATCAGAGTGTAATTGCTTGCTGTTGTTTGGATGAGATGTGATGATCACAATACAATATTTAATAAGTGAATAAAAATGACTGAAGGTTTCTCTTATCTTCTGCTTCAACCTAGCTGTAAATCAGCAGTTAATATTTCAAAGCAAGATTTTTGAAGGCACATCTCTGAAAGTGTTTTTCTTTAATCCCTTTCTTTCTGGCAGCCAAATCAGATAAAGAACATTTTCAATTTCCAGCTGATGTTACTTGTGGAAAGCAAAGTCCTTTCCCAAGCACAGGGAGGATTTTATTTTTGTTTGTAACCCAATTAAAAAAAACAAACAAAGAGAAGTTTCTTTCATTCTTTTCAAGAGCACTAGACTGGAATTCAGAAGACTGAAATTCATATTCCATCTGTGCCACCGTATGTCCCTTTACTTTGGACAAGGGACTGAGGGTATGTTCACATGGAACAGGATAGGCATTGTACAGAGATACAAATGCCAGCTCTGGAACTGTAAACATTACAGCCACAAAGAGTACAGCCTGACCTAATTATCCCTGCTTTTCAGCAGAGCTCATTAAGGCTGTGCTGGTGTGGTTATATTGCATCTGGTTTTGGAGCTAGTTTGGGTGTCTCTGCATGATGCTGACTGGCACCATGTAGACACATCCTTAAACTCTCTGTAACTCAGTTCCTGGTCTTGTGCTTGCAATATAGTACCCCTTTCTTCCACCCTTTGTCTTCCTTGTCTTTTCATAATGTCTGACACTTCTGAGCAACTAGAATACTAACATCTCAGGTTATAGTGTGCATCTAGAAGCATGCTGTCAGTAAGGACTGAGTCAAGCTTTGCTCTGCAGTCACAAAAAGCACGGACATACGTGCAGCTCTCCACTGTAACTCACGGCACTTTTCAGAAAGTGCCATGAGTTATAGCATTGCCCTTGACAAAACAGACATTCACTGTTGGGTCTGGGGGGTTGGGGGAGCAAGCTCCAGTTTGGAGTTGCTGTGTATCTGCAGCCATTTTCCCCTAGCCCCAGTCACCCTCCCAGCTCTGGTGCTGTCTTCAGAATGGGAGATGTGGAAGGGAGGGGAGGGAGCTCAGTCTGAGGTTTGCCCAGCCTGCGCTGGAAGGTGGAGCAGATGGATTGGAGCCTTCCACCTCAGGGAAAGAAGAGGGGAGCAATCCATCCACTCCATCCTCCAGTGCAGGCTGGGCAAATTCCTCCCTTCCCTTCTCCCCCTCCCATTTTGTAGACAGCACCAGGGGTGATGCTGGGCTGATACAGCTCAGCCTTGCTCCTAGTGCACACTGACAGAAGTTAATGAAGGTGCTCCACTTTAAAACTGCCCAATTGTGCAACAATTGGAACCCTCATTACATGAAGGTTCAGATGAAGGTGCTTCAAAGTGCATTGCAGCTGTGCACTTCTGTAGGGGGCAGAAGTGTGCAGGGGGGCAGGCAGTTTGACCCCTGCTCCCCATACCTTGCCCACTGCTGCCTGTTCCCCTGCTGCTTGTCCCTCTCATGCCTGTTCCCCTGCTGCTTCTCCCCTCCCCTTCACTGCAACCTCTGCCTCCTGCTCCCCACCACTGTTTACCCTCTGGCAGGGCTTTGACTTCAACCTGGCTGAAAACAACTGTTGCAGCAGCAACAGCAGCTCTGGCACAGGTTTTGGGGCTTGGCTGGAGCTGCTGCAACAGCTGTTACCAGGTCAGGCTGGGTCGAGAGCAAACATATACTGCATGAGCTAGGCTGGAGCCAAAGTGAGGCTAAGTGGTGGGGGAGGGAGAGAAGGAGGAGGGGAAGCAGGTGGGTGGGGAGATGTGGGGGGTGGCATCAGAGGAGGGACAGGCAGCAGTGGGCAAGGTGTGGGGGACAAAGGTCAAACCGCTCAACTCCCCCACTGCCTGACCACCCCACAGTGGTAGGAGGATGAATGCACATCCAGCCCTGGGTCAGGGCTGGAGGTAGAGCCCCAGCAGTTGCCTGCCCTCCGCCCCACCCCCTTACTGCCTTGTACTCAAATCCAAGACAAAAGTCTTTCCCCCTCATCTTGGATTTGAGTAAATATGGTATTTCAAAGTTTATTTTTCCAGTTTGATTCCCTCCAAGCTCTTCTTGTGCATGTGTCTCACTCTCTAGATATTGATTGTAATTTCAGATATTAAGCTGTGCTGTTTTATAATTTAAAGATATATATATATATACACACAAGAATGTACAGGTGTACCTTATGGAAGTGATTGACAATAGACCTAGTATTTCCAAAATTGATAAAATATTGGAAGCAATCATTATTGGTCTATTACAGGCACAGCTATAGTATAATATAGTTCATAAACTTTATTTCCTCTCCTATATAGCTACCAACTAGTACTGCTTCTCCTGCTGCTTTGTCTAAAACCGTGAATGAACTTGTCCCAAGTAGTAGAATAATATGTGCAAAGCAAAAGAAACCTGCCACTTACAATGTTTCATGATCTAGTGGGATTTGTCAGGAATCTTCCACTATTAACTATTGCAGTTGGTCTCCCTAATCACATCAGTTAGCTATTATTTGGTTGACTCCATAGGAAACCCTATAAATGATGCATATACCTGTAGAGGTCAGTACCATCAGTGCAGAAGTCCTGTGCACTTCACATTGCACAGCCCATCTATCTTTGAGCTTTTGTTTTGCTCTTCAGACCAAGTTTTCCATTAAAATTCAGTTCCTGCTAAAATCAATGTATATTCATTCCAAGTATGAAATCTGAGGAAAGACTCTGACCTTCAGTTTAACTATTTAGAATTAATATAGCAGAGAGAATTAAGGACAGTAGAAATTATGCCAGGGAGCAATGACAGTTTTTTCTGAAATGTCGTTCAAACTTACCACTTGAGGGTTATTGTATAGTTAGTAATTCCTTGAGCACTGGAGACAGGCAACCAGTAGCAAAGTAGATTTTCTTGTGAGTCTATGTGACATGCCAGTTCTCCATCCCACTCTGTAAGATGAAAAGTGTTACTCTATACAATGTTCTCTCCCTTGTAGAGGCCTCAGCACTGTTGGCTTTAGCTTCCCTTTCCTCTGGTTTCAGACCTCCAGTCTTGGCCCACAGATCCAGACCCAGCTCTCTGTCTCAGCCCTGTTGGTTTTCTGTGTCTCTGAGCCCCTGGCTCCTGTGTCTCTTGCTCTGGGCCCCTGGCTTCTGTCTCTTGCCTCAACCCTCTGGTTCTATACCCTGGGCTGGCTGGGTTGCTTGTTTCTCCAGTCCTCAGCAGTCTGATCCTTGACTCTTATCCAGGCTGCTTTGCCTCTCCAGCCCTTAGCTCCTTGACCTGGCTAGGCTGCCTAATGCCAAGTGTCCTACCAGGCACTCCTCCATGGTCCCTTAGACACAACCTGGTCCTCCAGGCTAAAGCCTAATTGACAAATGAAAGTCCCTGATTCACATCAAAGGAATCTTCCCAGCCCTGGGTCAACTCCTTTTGTTCCCTGGAGCCACCCAGAGGGTACTAAATCTGGTGCCTGCTAGTGCACCCACTGCAGGCATCTCTCTCAGAAGCTCTTCACCCTTCAACATGCAGGGCCAGATGACCTGCTCTGGCTCAGGCCCTGGATTTATATGCCTGGAAGCGATGCCTACGTTTGGTCACATGTCTTCCCCAGCCCTGCACAGGGTTTTCCCTGTACATCAAGGGCCAGCCTGCCCTCCTGCAGCTGTGGCCCCACACAGCCAGCTGAGCCTGCTGTATCTCCTTAAAGAGGAAGCAGCCTTCTGGCTCCCTGCCACATTTCCCTCTCTTCCGCTTCCCTTATGCCCTAGTAACAGGGTCTGGGTCCCATGTTACAGGCAGGTACTTATCCTTAGCAGCTGAACTATGAGTCTCAAAATAAAGAAGCAACAAATATAAAATAGTATATACTTTCTCATGCAATGATGAATACCTAACCTCCGTAACAGGGCAAACAGTTTAGTAATATTTATGTAACTAAGGGCCCCTCTGTACATGCAGCTAAAGGTGGGGTGGGATCCAGTGCATGATCCATATAATCCACACATACATGGCAGGAGGCATGACTGCGGGATCACACATTAGATTCCATTGTGCCTGATTGCCAGTGCAGGAGGAGCTTGATCCTGGGATCCCCCTGCACTAGCAAAAAACAAGCTTCCATGGTTGGGAGCTCCCTCAGCTGACAGGGCTCCCAGCTGTGGGGATGTACCATACAGTCCAGCTGCTGGGAGACCCATCTGCTGACTCCATCAGCACCCCTCCAGCTGGGAGACCTCAGCTGATGTGATATTCCAGCTGTGGGGTTGCTTGCATCAACTGTGGTGCATAGGCCACGGCTGGGAGTCCTTCAACTGGGACCTCCTAGGCTCAGGGATGCACATGGCTACTCCCAGCTAGGAGCTCAGATCAGTTGATGGGGCTCCCAGCCACAGGGACCCCGGCCATGCATTAAATTAATGGCATGATAGGAAGTAGCTACAAAGTTATTACACATTTTGTGAAACAACTTTGTAGCTTATTCCTTTTTTTATCACATCATTAATTGATTGAATGTGTAGCCAAGTGACCCCTTAAGGCATGATTAACTGATGAACTCTGTTTCTTTGTCTGAATGACATGCCTGAGTTCTGGTGTAACATCTCCACATTTTGTTTTAAAATTTAAATTATGTATTTTATGTTTTTTGAAAAAAAATTGAAACCTGTTATATGCTCCTTATTATACTGCCCTGGAGCACCAGCTAATCTTGCCTACATCCTTTGTGCACAAATGTCTTTATTGCACTCTGCTTACAGTATACAGGCAGTATGTACTCTGCATTTCCAGTTCTCAGCTCTGTCACAGTACGTTCTGGCTATGAGGTAAGGGCCAGCTAGCTGTCCTTTTGCAGAGGATATCAAGGTGTCAGCAGTGAGTCAGGACTACCATGTTTAGTCTTTTTTTACTTAGGACATGGACCCTACCATGTACACCCACATTTTCAAAAGCTCTAAGTAGCAGCACATTAGTGAAGGCACCAGAATGGGTGCCAATTCGGAGCGGACACCGAATTGTCTGTGGCATGGCAGCAGCCCATATTTAGGCAGCTTGCTGAGGCAGCAGCCTGTGCCACCACCGCAGCTGCAGCAGCCCCTGCACCAGGAGATAAGCATACTACTCCCACCCTCCCTAGGTGGCAACATTTTAAACCTCTAGCTCTAAGAATGATTATATCAACACTCTTCCTGTGCTCAGGAAACCACTTACAGATTGTAATTATTGCAGATATGGTAGGATGACTATTTGAGGCCTTTGTTTGCTTATAGTGTACTTAACACAACAAGCTGGCTTGCATCCATAGATGCTTCTCAAGCAAATCCCAGGACGTCATTCTCCCTTTGTAGTTGGCCTTGGTGAGGCTGCAGCTGGAGTACTGCATCCAGTTTTGGGCTCCACAATTCAAAGAGGATGTGGAGAAGCTTGAGAGAGTGCAGAGGAGAGCCATGCGCATGATCACAGGTCAGGAAAACAGACCTTATGATGACAGGCTGAGAGCCATGGGACTCTTCAGCCTGGAAAAGCGTAGGCTCAGGGGTGATCTGGTGGCCACCTATAAGTTTATGAGGGGTGCTCACCAGGATCTGGGGGAATGTCTGTTCACCAGAGCGCCCCAAGGGATGACAAGATCAAACAGTCACAAACTCCTCCGTGACTGTTTCAGGCTGGACATAAGGAAGAACTTCTTTACTGTCCGAGCCCTCAAGGTTTGGAATAGACTGCCATCGGAGGTGGTCCAAGCACCTACATTGAACACCTTCAAGAGACATTTGGATGTTTATCTTGCTGGGATCCTGTGACCCCAGCTGACTTCCTGCCCCTCGGGCAGGGGGCTGGACTCGATGATCTTCCAAGGTCCCTTTCAGTCCTAATTTCTATGAAATCTATGAAATCTAGGATATTATGGACCTCAGTACTCCATGCCTAGAGAATCACAAACTACTCTCAATAAATTGAGGGTAGATATTTTTCTTTTTCCTTCTTTGTAATTTAAACAAATTGTGCAAAAAAAAAAGAAGAAAAAAAACAAGAAAAGAAAAGAAATGAAAGGGATCTTTGTGGAATACTTTTGCCCCTGTGTAACTCAATTTAATATTAATGAAGGTATGCAACAAACCCCAAATGTAATTAAATATTGTTCTTTACCTGTTTTGTGGCTGAGTAGGAAAACAAAACTTGAGTCTAACATTCTCCTAACTAGATGATTTCATTTTTTAGGGTCAAACTTAACATTTAAATGTCTGGAGTTTATTATCCAAAAATTGAGACACCCAAAATTGGTGGAAACAGTTTTGAAAATATGCCTATCATCAATTTGCATAATTTACAGATTTACATAGGCAGCATATGAATAGGGTGACTATATGTCCAGTTTTTACCTGTTCTAAATACCTGTTGCAGTTGTCCCATTGATTTGGTAAATGAACACTCCTGTCCTGCTTTCAGTGGGATACCTGGGACTGGTGTTTAAAATGAGAGAAAGTGGGAGTTTCATTTCAACTCCAACTTGCTCTACTGGGACTTTGCGGGTATCTCTACATGTGCAGTTAATGCAAAGTGTATCACTCTGGAGTTTATTGCTCCTGGGTGCTGCATTTACGTGTGCGCCTAGGACCTCAGCACATTGAGCTAGGTTGGACTAGCCCTGGCTGGCGAGGGACCAGGCGGGTCAGCCTATTTGCCCAAGGCTGCTCTGCCTCATCTCAATATGCTGTGGCGGGGCCAGCTGGGACACAAGTGCTCCACTGTGGGGCTAGCTGGCAGGCAGTTCCTATAGTGAAGCACCCTTGTGCCCCAGCCAGCCCCATCAGTGTCTACACATGTGTTGTGGTGCACTAAATAATACCGCCGCAGGATAGTGCTTGTGTTTACAAGTACTAACCTACGGTGGTGTTTATTAGTTTACTGTGCTCTAATAAGGCCGCATGTGTAGATGTGGAGCTAATTAGGCAGCTCTGCAGTAAACATCTCATGAAGATGCACCCAGAGACAGCTGAGCATGCCAGAGAGTGAAGTGTCCTGTTTTGAAAATAGGGAAATATGGTTAATCCCATCTACGAAGTCAATACGAGAGCTCAGAAATGCAAGAGATCTGATTCTTAATGACTTGATAGATTAGATAACCAGCCCTCTTCAAATTAACGGGTAATTTGCATAATAGTATGAAAAGTGAAATCCATTCAGCAAAAGATATTGTCTGAATTTTGATAACTTATAGGCTACAGCCCAATCCTACGTTATTCCTTTTTATAGCTGAAACTCCTGTCTGACAAGGAACATGAGATCAGGATGGGCAGGAGTTTCTTCTAATATGTTACCTCCCTGTAGCATTAAATTTAGAGGGCAATGTTGAATGTTATAGTTAGTTATTTAAGTACTTCTGAAGCTATTTTTCAGGGATGTTGTGTTTGTATTGCAGAATAATAGATTATTAGAAATATTTCAGAAATCTAACAGAATTTGGATTAAATATGTTTTCCTTTTCTATTTTGCTTCTTACTGTTTGAACTATCAGCTAACAAGAATTAACAAAGATGTTCCTGGTATCACCCACTCTTTTCATTTTCTTTTTAAAAGAAAGACAAAAACATTATTTATACATGTTCCCTATACATAGATTCATAGATAGATTCATAGATGTTAGGGTCGGAAGGGACCTCAATAGATCATCGAATCCGACCCCCTGCATAAGCAGGACAGAGTGCTAGGTCTAGATGACCCCATCTAGATGCTTATCTAACCTCCTCTTGAAGACCCCCAGGGTAGGGGAGAGCACCACCTCCCTTGGGAGCCCGTTCCAGACCTTGGCCACTCTAACTGTGAAGAAGTTCTTCCTAATGTCCA